GGCGGCGGGAGCGCAGCGCGGATACAGCACGTGGCCGGCGCAGGCACCCCGCATGGACTACCAGGTACCCCTCGCAGCAGCCGCTCCGCGGCCAGCACAGGGCTGTCCCCCAGGCCAGAGCCCGCGGTGGGGGCTTGCCCTGTCCTGTGCAGTCTGCCCCTGAGCCCAGGCAGAGCAAAGGGCGGGGATTTCGCGCGTGCAAGACGCAGCCGGTTGGGAGAGGCCAGGGCAGCTGATGTGGGGCTGGCTGCGCTGGGCCGGAGGGGAGCGGGGAGCCCACTGCACTCCCCAGCTGCCTCCTGTAACTTTTTTTCTTCGGAGTCCTGTTGATTTCTGTCACCTCCCGCCCATCCCAAGGCTGGGAAATAGCCGCTCACAAGGGGCTTGGGCCAGGGGGTTTGTGTGAGACTTTGTTTAATAACACCACTGCCGCCTAATGATGAGCTCTTAGATGCACTTCACTGCGTGGATGCTGAGTTACTCCGGGGGTAAAAAACGCGTGCCGCCTGCCAGCTGTTCACTCTTGAAGGTTGTGGATGGAGTAGAGCGGGTTCCTTCCAACCGAGAGCTCTCACACACGATACAAAGGTCTTTACAGGGGGGTGCTCATCCAGAGAGTGGCTTCGAATCTGTGCGCGTGTCCGTGCGTGTTAAAAGGTGCTGGGCGGTCTCGGCAAAGGTGCAGCTGAGCCCGTTTTATGGAGCTCGTGGCAGCAGGGTTGGAACGAGACTGCCTGATGCTGTGTGGACCGTAATGTTTAGAAACAGCCCTGCCCTGCCCTGCCCAGGCTGCACCTGTGGGCTTCCTGCATCGTTTCTAATGGACCTGGTTGCGTGTTTGATCTCTGCTCCAAAATCTGGAGGGTCTGTCACATGATCACGCGGGTGCTGCTGTAGAAACTGGTGTGTTTTGTTCTACGTGATGTTTCCGCAAATGACTTTAATCATGCATCTGAACATCACATGGACACCCGTCGTCTTTTATGTGCCTAACTGAATAAGGTTGGGTTAGGAAGCGTGCGGTGGTCATGTGGGACTCATTGCCTTAAAACTGCTCTGAGTCTTGTAGTGACAGTCTTATGTACTGGGGCTCCTTGGTCCCTGCTGTCCTCCGTGATAGGCAGGGAAGAGAGCAGGTCTGTAGGATGGAGGTAAGCTGGGTTCTCTTTCATGTTTGTTCATCACATAGCCCAGTGCAGGCCTGCTCTAACTGGGGTCTCTGGTGTCATGATCATGCCCAATGATCCACATGCCCTTTGTGGTGGTGTCTAGGGGAGCTGTGCTTGGGGTAGCACCAAGTCAAGGCGGGGGCCGTGTGTGGAAATGGGAGGACAGGGGTTGCGATGCAGAGTGGGAAAATCTCCGGTCCATCCAGCTCGTCCGAAGCAGCTGAGAGGTGGAACGTGCAGCCGATCTCTGCGCTTCCCAGGCGGTACAGTATACTGCCTCGTATAAATAGTCTCTTGTCACTGGCGGAGTGGGGCTTATGCTTTTTATAGAGGGGCGGTGCAGGCAGGTCTGGTTACAGGCTGAGGCAGAGCTGGCAGTGCTGCAGAGGTCTTAAGAAAACCCGGGAAACTGCTTCTCTGCATGGGGCGTGCACAGACAGGGGAGGCATTAATCAGCACCTGGCTGGGCTGTTGTGGGGGTAGGTTGAGTCCCTCCCATGCTCTGGGTTGGGTTACCAGGGCTCGTCTTATGATCCGAGCCCTCCCTGCTGGGGGAGGGTTGCCAGCCCTGATGCCAGACATCACCCCCTCCATGCTGGAAGTCAGCTGCCTGTCACGTTTTTGGAATGGTTACAGGTCCTTTCTTTCACCACTTTCTTCTCCCTTCCCGTCAGAGCTGAGGCAATCTCTTGTTTGTTGTGATGGTCCTTTATTAGTTCTATTTTCCTGCATATATCCTGCATCTTTTCCCTCAAAACCAACTGGGGAAAACCAGGTTGTGCTTTATATGCAAGAAAATAGGATCCCTATGGGTTTGGAAACTTGGAAGGGAGGGTGGGTAGAGCCATGGCAATGTTAATTGCTGCAGCAGTTAACACTGCCACCACTCCTTCCCCCTGCTGCCAGATTTGTGGGCCTGTGGGAAGCTGTCTCCCCAACCATGTGATGGATCTGGCCGGTGTGTGGTCCTGGTGTGTAACCAGATTTCACATGCTAAGTCCAGTCTGGCGCACAACCCTAGACCTGGCGTGCCAACACTGGATCCAGAGTCACTGGCTGGGTTCAGCCCTGTGCGCTGCCTCTGGGGCTGCATGCCAAGCCTGGGACGGTGTGTACGGGACTACACACTGGCTCCGAGTTGGGTTCAGTGCGTGGCCTTGGAGCCAGTGCTTGGGGTCAGAATTGGCGTATGACTCCAGACCCAGTGTGCAGTCCTGGGCCTGGCACACGGTCAGTCCATGAGCCCAGTCAGCTCGTGGGGCTAGGAGCAAGCTCAGCCCCGTGGCTGCTGCCACTCACGTTGATCAAAGGGTTATTTTTCCCCACTTCAGGTCCCCTTCACAGTCAAGGTGCTCACTGTGTATTGGGGTGTATGGAGTCTGCTGGGGACAAATTGTGGGCTGGGCATAAGGGGTGCATTGCAGCTCCTGTACTTCATGTTTGAGGCTAGTGAGGAACCTTGAGTTCTGGGTCCTGCCCTTGCCCTGTGCTTCGTAAAAAGCAGCGGGGCAGCACAAGGGTAGGGGTAGCATAGGGAACCACAGCTCCTCCCAGTGCAGCTCCTGCATTGGAGGGGACTTTGGGAGGAGGTGGGGCTGACGCCTGGCTCCGGGCTGCTTGCTGCACTCAGTCCCAGGGCATGAGAGTGAGTGCTGTACAACTGGGTGCATTAACCTGTCAGGCCGTGTGGCTTCTCTGGGCTCCGATGTGAGCTCAGTGCACTCGGCAGGGAGAGGACCAGGATCGTGCCAGCTTGCTGGGACTGCTGCTAACACCTGCTCAGGTTGGGGCTTCCCTGCTGGGGCTGGCTGGTGAAAGCCCTCACTTACTCTGGGTGGAAATGACTTCTGAGAGGGACCGGATGGAGCCAGACTGGGTGGGTAGCAGCACAGTGGTGGATATAGCTATTTTTCTGCCTGCAACAAGGTGCTGTCAGCTGAAAGGGGGGTTGGTTGGTAACATGACTGTCCCCAAACGGGAACAGCAGAAGTCGTTCTGTGCTGGGGACCTCGTGTTGGGTGGAGATGGTGAGGGCTGAGGGTGACTGACTGGCTGCACCCGTGACCACAGGTGAGTAGAAGGGCTAACTTGAGCACTGGGGATTAGGCTGGCCTGGAGTGTCGCAGTGTTGGCTCTGATGCTGCCCAGCCTGCCTTGCTCTGCTGTGCCCTGTCCTGAGGGCAGAGAGGCCAGTGCAAAGTGCTGACCTTACTTGTTTCCTTTCAGGATGCGATTCGGACCCTTAACACCCTCCAGACTAATGCTAGTTACCTGGAGCAGGTAAAGCGGGAGCGAGGAGACCCTCAGGTGCAGCTGGAGGCCATGAAAGGCTTTTTGGAGCGAAGCGGGTTGAAGGTAAGGGCTACGAGGGCCAGCAGGGCTCCTCTGGAGATCCCGTCCCATCCCTTGTGGGGAGGGATGGGTGGAAGTGGGTGTTTGCCCTGGGCAGGCCTGGTTGTGAGCCCTCCCACCGTGTTGGTGCTGCGATGTGTAGGAACTGAGGTGTCTCACGTGCTCTGGCTTTCCTTTCACGGGCCGGTTAACCTCTGTCTGATAGGTCGAAGACCTGGATCAACTGAACATCATCCACGTCACTGGGACAAAGGGCAAGGTAAAGTGGGGAGTGCATAGAGTGGGGCATGAGGCAGCCCAGGGAATGAAGCACTGGAGGGGTGTGCGCAAGGGCATATGTGGGGGAGACCCTGGGGTAGGAGAACATGAGGTCACTGAGGAGGATGTTGGGGAGGGAATTGGGAGGGCACTGAACTTGCTGCTGAGGTGAAAGGGTCACCTGGTGTCTGACAGTCACATGGTGCTTGGTTGGTGCATGGGGGTTTTGGCACTTTGGGCTGCCTGGTGGTGAAGTCCTTTTCCTGGAAGCTTCAGTGGCCTGGGCACTGGGGCAGAGCTGCTTCCTGGCGAGAGGCCCAGATCCAGTGGGCTATGGACTGGTCAGGCTCCCCAGCTAATGCCGCTGTCTCATGCTAGGGCTCAGCTTGTGCCTTCACAGAGCGCATCCTCCGAAACTACGGCCTCAAGACAGGCTTTTACAGGTGGGCATTGTAGCTGCTGTGGAGGGGGGCACCCAGAGGTGGGATGGGGATGTTGCCCTTGAGCTCTGACCCTCTGCTTGTTCTCCTACTGCCCAGCTCTCCCCACCTGGTGCAGGTACGTGAGCGGATCCGCATCAATGGGCAGCCGATCAGCAAGGAGCTCTTCAGCAAGTACTTCTGGCAGGTGTACAACCGGCTAGAGGAGACCAAGGTGTGTGCAGGCCCTGGGAGGGGGCCCCTGGGGCCAAGCCAGTAAGGTCCTCCCCTGAGCGTGTCCCCTGCTGGACTTCAGAACAGAGTCTGTGCTGCAGGCCAGGGAAGGTCCAGCGCTGCTGCTCAGGGCTGGTTTGTGGGGCACTGGGGTGGCCGTGGGAGCACTTTGAGGGCTTAGAACCAGGGATGGTTGTGCTCTTCCTTGGCCTACTTGGCCACCTGGGCCAAGTTGTGTCCCCTCTCTCTGCCTGTGATGTGAACAGTGCTAGTGAGTGCCCAACGATAAGGTATAATCAGCTCTCATCTGTAAACACCACCTGGGATCCTGGCTGAGCTGGGCCCTGCATGTTGCCTCCTTGTCACTGCCTCAGGAGCCAGCGGTGTTGGGCTGAGGCCTGGCTAGTCTCCCAGGGTGTCTGACTGGAAGTGGAGCTGGGGTGACACTGTTACCCTGGAGGCCCTTCCTGTAACCCTTCTGTCTGCTCCATAGGACCCTGCCTATGCCAGCATGCCTGCCTACTTCCGCTTCCTCACCATCATGGCCTTCCATGTCTTCCTGCAGGAGAAGGTACAGTGCTGGCTCTCTCCCCAGTGGGTGGGTTGCTGGCGTGATGGGTCATGCCTTGGTCACTGGCAGGGGAGCAGCTGAGCCCCAGGTGCTGATTGTCTGCAGCCGTCGTGGATTCTCAGGGTAGCTGGATGTGCCCAGCAGTTCTTGTAATGTGGCTGCTGGAGCCTGGACCTACACCCCATAGCTGATGGCTCTTTCCTTCCCAGGGTTGAGTCAGATACCCTCAGGCCTCCCATCCTTTCCCCTTGGGTAGTTTTTTCCTTCCCTGACAGTTCCTGGGGCTCCTGCCACTTCTGTATTTTTTTAGGGGGGCAGTGAGAGTGAGCATGACCATGAGACCCTGGATCTGTGACTTAGGGTAATAGCCTTCATACCATGGAAAGGGCCTGGGGACCCTCCTGTAACTTGAGGGGTGTGTATGTATGGATCTGATATCCCTGGCTGCATCCATATGTGCACAGCTAGCTGCCTGCCTGCATGTGTCCTCTACTGCGAAGCCAGACACCTCTGGGGCCCAATGTGTGAGAGATGCTTGCATGTGCACCCAGGCTGAGAAATGTCTCTGGACTGAGAATCCCTGTACTGAAGGGGCTGCTGTGAGCACAGGCTAGAATACGCCCAGCTGCCTTGGGCTGGCTGTACTAGTTGGCCAGGCAGGGGTGTCTGGTGTGTGGAGGTTGTGTGTTGGGCAGTGCCTAGGGTCCTTCACTTTCTGTACGTAGGGCAGTGATGCAGCACATACCATACTCTCATCCTATCCAGGTGGACCTTGCAGTGGTGGAAGTTGGCATTGGAGGGGCCTACGATTGCACCAACATTGTCAGGTAGGTGCTCTTTGGGGCTGACAGTGAGTGTGACACGAGCATGACAGAAGCTTCAGGGGCAGGGAGTTTCTGCCTGGGGACAGGGCAAGATGAATCCAACCTTCCTTCCCTAGTGGGTGTCAACAGTGAACTGTGCCCAAGAGAAGAGGTTGGTCAGTCCTGGGCCTCAGACAACAAGGGGCTGAAGGCTTATGGTTGTGGCGGCAGTCATGATAAGGAGGCCTCCCCAGTGAAGTTACTGAGCAGCCATTGGGTGCTGGTAACTTCCAGTCATGCCTGGCTGTAAACTTGGGTCTCAGAAGGCAACTGGCTCCTTGTGGAGCCAGTAGGCACCCCACCCCAGGTTGTGGACAACAACTGAGGTCATGGGGAGTGTGGGGGACAGTCGGAGCCCTCAAGCTGGGTTCTCACTTTTTCTCTCTCTTGCTACCCCTCCCTCCCCTCACGTGACCAGGAAGCCAGTCGTGTGTGGAGTCTCTTCTCTGGGGATTGACCACACCAGCATCCTGGGGGACACCATGGAGAAAATTGCTTGGCAGAAAGGAGGCATCTTCAAGGTAGAATCTGCTGGCTTTGTTGGGGAGGGGCTGCTGTACCGTGGGGCAGTTTAGAGGGTGGTTCTGTGTCTGCCCGAACAAGCAGAGCCCATCCAGATCCCTGGATCTGGCAGAACCCAGTCCCAGGTCATCTGGCTCTGCACACTGAAAGGTGAAACTCCTGGCCCTGGAGACCAACCCCAAGCCCTGCAGGTTACTTGCTGGGAGGGCGGGCTCTCGGAGGGAGAAGCTCCAAATCCTAGCAAAGACCACCTCTGAATTGGGCCCAGCTCAGGAGCCCGTCGCTGGAATCCAGGTGCCTCCCTAGAGTGGACAAGATCTGGGCAGCTCACAAGCTATCTTGGCTTAAGGATGTATGCATGTTGCTTGCAGCCTGGTGTGCCAGCATTCACGGTGCCACAGCCGGAGCGGCCCCTGGAGGTGCTGAGGGACCGAGCCAGGGAGAGCCCGGTAAGATATGCCCTGCTCATACCTCCTCTGCACCCTGCCCCCAGAGCAGAGGAACTGTGGGGGAAGGCAGCAGCAGCATCTCTGACTGCCCCAGCCTTATTCTGAAACTCCTGTCTCTAGGTCCCCATGTCCACATCTCTCAAGTGATGCATATTCTCAGAGATGTCCTGCTGCTGTTGCTGGGCCCCATGCGCTGTCTCCCCTCTGCTTTTTCTACAATGCAGGACCAGCTTGTACATGACATTGGCTCAGCCTTGGTCCTTGCTGCCCCTGGGGGTTTGGACCCTGAGATCTTTGCCTGCCCCTCTCTACTGAGCTGCTGTTGGAGGAGGGCCGGGCTCCTTGCTCTGGATCCCTAGCCAGTGTAGTTCCACCCCAGGGGGCCCATGTTTTGCTTGGGGCTGTTCTATCTTGCTCAATATGTGTGCTGCTGGTGTTGGCATTTAGGTGACTGTTGCTGGAGAGGCAGACTCAGAAGCAAACATAACCTCTCTGGAGCATGAACAGCTTAATCCTGGGACCTGGTCTGTTTGGTCGCTCCTGCTGCTGCCAATTGCTGGCTGGCAAATGTTCAGCCAGCTCACAGAGCTGCCCAGGGCAATGGGGTTTGCAGGGCAGCACTCACCCTTGGCGTGTCTCTCTGTATGTAGTGCCCCCTCTACCTGTGCCCAGACTTGGGTGCCTATGAAGAGGACAAAGTGTTCCCGTTGGGCTTGGCAGGTGACCATCAGCGATCAAATGCCACCCTGGCCTTGCAGCTATCACGGATGTGGCTGGAGCAGCAGGGATACCAAGGTAAGGAGCACAGTCCCTGGCAGGGAGAAGGGGTGAGAGGTGGGGGGCGGTTTGTAAGGAGTTCAGAACTGAGGAGGCCCCTCCTGGTGTTCTATGGCGTCTCATCCTTTCCTCTACTGCCCAGGCTGGGGCATTTCTCCCAAGGGATTCTGGGAGAGCTGCAATCTGTGGAGGCCTGAAGGGGTTTTGGTGCTTTTAGCAAGAAGCAGTGGGGGTTGTTGCTTTGTGTGCTTGTCCAGCGTGGGGCTTCTGGGCCAGGCTTCTCACAGCCTGGCTCCTGGGGTGACTGTAGCCTCAGACCCTGGATTCACCCTTGCTGCAGTGAGCCTATTCTCAGGCCCCTGGAGATGTCCGTCTTGGCTTTTCCCTGCTGGGCTGGGCCTGTCGGGGTTTCTGATCAAGTGCTCTGGCTGGGAGCCCCTTGGCATCTGATCAGAGACCTTGAGGGGCTCTCTCCATTCCAGTAATTCTGGCTAGCAAATTTATCAGCTTGCTGGGAATTGAGCTTCGAGGCTACCCCATGGGTCAGGCTATGGATGCATTTGGAGAGCCTGGAAAGGGTCCCAGGTACTGGCTGGAGTCCAGTGGCTGGCCAAGCGTGTGCTGCTGGTGGGAAGCTGTTACAGGAACAAATGTGAAGGGCATAGAGCGGGTGTCTGAGCAGGGATTACAGTATGGCTTTCTTTTCCTGGCAGGTAGCGGGGAGCTGAAGGACTTGTGGCCAGGTGCAGAGCCACCAGGGAAAAAGCCTGTACCTTTGGCACCCGTGTTCAGGCCCAGCATTGCCATGGTGCAGGGTAAGAATGGACCCTTTTCTCATGGTTGTGTGAGCTCCTGGGCTTGTACCTGCCCTTGACTTGAGTTAATGGGGGTTGGCCCAGAGCTGCTGCTCATTCAGAGATAACAAAACACGAGAGTAAATAACAGCTCGTGCGAGTCATGTTGCCAAGACCCTGGACTCTGCCCCCACCGCCCTCCCTTGCTTGTGTTTTGAGTGCACCAGGCTTTGTCTTTTCACGTTCTGTTTTCACTGCTTTGAACTTAACCCTTGGAAATGTGGTGCTTCCTATATGGCCCAGGCATGCCCTCTGGAATCCGGGCCTGCTCTCTGGGCTCCCGGCTCAGTGTGGGGTGGGCATGGGGCTGCGTGTGGAGTGAAGCTCTCTAGGGCTCTCTGCCTCCATGGCCAGCGTGACACGGAAGCCACGTTTCCAAGGTTCTAAGCCGGGTGCTCTTCACCCCCCTGGTGCCCTGGGATGGTGGCAGGGTGTGTGCTTGGAGGAGGGTGAGAGGCTGGGCAGGAGGGTATGGTGCTAACTTGGCACTGGGGTAGACAGGATGGTAGGAGCTTGGCTGGTGGTCTCCCTGGCCAGTGGAAGTGCAGCAAAATGCCCGGGACGTTCTGAAGCAGTAGCTGTGGTGCACTGGCACGCAGGCCCAGAGTCTTACAGCCAAGGCCCTGGGCAAGGAGCAGGGGTTACGGGACTGAGCAGAGCAGAACTCCTGCCCCCTGGCAGCCTCAGTCTACCCTGGGCACTTACTTTCTCTGCCCTGTATTTTTGGGGGACTGTGTTCAGCAGTTAATTTCTGATCCATCTCCACCAGCTGTTCTCAGGCTGCTATAACCCAGTTGTCATGGGCCTGAGAGAAAGCTGGTAACTCAGGGAATGAGGGACCAGCTCTGTCTGAAGAGAGAATGGGGGGGACAGGACCTGGCTGCTGGCCCCGCGTCATCCCTCCTCCTCCCCCAATCCTCTCTTCCCCAGGTCTGCAGGACGCGGTGTGGCTGGGCCGTACCCAGGTGCTGCAGCATGGGCCGGTGACATGGTACATTGATGGGGCGCACACCACCAGCAGCGTGCAGGCCTGCGTGCGCTGGTTCCACCAGGCTGCACTCAATGAGGAGAAGCCCGTGGAGTAAGGAGCTCAAGGAGGGGCCTGGGTAGGGGGCTGTTACGTGCCGCATCCACAGCCACCAGGGTGGGGCTGTGCGGGGAATCCTGCCACGACGGTGCTTGCTGGAGTGCTTATAGGGTGAAAAGGAGAGGCGGCGTGTCACCACGCCAAGGGCAGCCACATGAGCAGTGCTCTCCTTGTGGTCCTGATATTCCTTCCACTTCCCCCAGCTGGGGGCTGGCTCCACCTGGGTCCAGTAGGTCATGCCTGGGGACCAAAGTGGGAGGGCACGGGGAAATGGCCGCGGTTTTGTCTCGTCACCTGCACCGTTCTCAGGTGGATACAGGAAAGGAGCCTCCTGCTTCTCAGAGGTGGCTTAGCCTAGCTGTGGGCCTCCTGGGCATCCTGTCACACAAACTGAGTAGCAGCCGGTTCCTGGCAGCGAGGCCCCAGCACTGAGCAGGTCGCTCCCTTCTTGTCTGCAGTGGCTCTGAGGTCCGAGTTCTTCTCTTCAACGCCACTGGGGACCGGGACACGGCGGCTCTGCTGAAGCTACTGCTGGTGAGCTGGGGGCAGTGACGGAGACAAGCTTTTGGAAGAGGCACAATGCAGAGGCAGAAAGTGGGTTTGGAGCCATTGGGTGGAGGCAGCGTAGGTTTTAGCTGGGGGACTGGCTGGGCCTGATGGCTGTGGAGGGGAATGGATTGCAGGGGGACGGGGGACAGAGTGGTTACCTCCAATCCCCGCAATCAGGAATGGAGCAGTGGCTCCCAGGTTCTGTGGGGGTGTCCCGTCCCCTCCACCAAGCTTAAGCTTGGCAGCCTGGGGATTGCGTCCCCTCTGCTCGGGCGAGTACCGCTGGGTGCCACGAGGTGGCGCTAACCCCCCACAGTTGCCCCACCTCTCCTCTCCCAGCCAGCACCCCCTGCAGATGCCTCCCCCCACACCTCTCTGTGGGGCAGGACAGGGCTGGTGCCAGGCCGGAGCCCTGCAGGCTGCCCTGCTTCTGGGAAGAGACGAACTTACAGCTGTGGATGGGGGCTCTGCCCCTGTAGCTCCCATCGGCAGGCACAGAACCCAGGCGTCCTGGCTAGAAGCGTTCTGCTCCAAGCTCTACCTGGAGTTTCCCTGTTGGGTTGTGATTGATGCTAAGCCAGTTGCTGTGGCCATTTCTGTACCAGGGATGAATGTCCCTCCTGCCCTCTCCTGCACAGCTGCCCCTGGCTGGACATGCCAGCCTGCCCCCAGCGCAGTGTGCATCTCCCTGTGCTGACATTGTCTCTTGTGCTCTAGCCTTGCCAGTTTGACTACGCTGTGTTCTGTCCCAACTTCACGGAGGTGTCTACGGTGGGGAATGCAGGTCAGTGCCAGGCCAGACTAGGTTGTGCGCTGCTTTGGACATCTGCACTGGAGCTGGCTCTGATGCAGCATTGCCCTTGCTCCACGTTGGAGCCTCCTGTGTGTGTTCTGCACCCACCAGAAGCCTGGGGGACCTGTGAAGGCGTTCCCAGGCCGGGATGGGCCTGGGGGGTCAGGGTCTGAGCTGGCTTCACAGGGGTGATATTGGTCTTTCCAGACTGACACTCCTCTAAACTGAGACCCTCATGATTTACCTTGGGCTAGAGTTGAGTTTGCCAGCGGAATTGGATCTGTGGCCTGGTGCCTGGTCCTTTCCCAGTGTCTGTCTGCTTCCCTCAGTGGGATGGTAGCAGGGCGAGGTGTCCATGTAGCTGCTCTGGCCCTGCCTCATTCTCTTCTTCCTTGCAGACCAGCAGAACTTCACAGTCACGCTGGAGAACGTGCTGACCCGCTGCCTGGAGAACCAGAAGAAGTGGAACCAGCTGATGGAGGAGAAGGTGGGCCAGGACCTCTGGCTGTCTGCCCCCTTGGTGGTGGAGGGGGTTGGTGGGCGGCTGAAGCCTGACCCCCTGCGCAGCCCCCTGCTACTTGTGCCCTCTGTGGAGCGCCCGCTCAATGCCAACTCACTGGTGTTCCCTTGCATCTCCCATGCCCTGCAGTGGATCACCCAGGGCAGGGACCCACTCCTCCAGATGCCTACCACCAAGGGCCTCCATCTGCACCCTGTGGCTAGCACTGGTGCTGTCTTGCTCAAGGAAGCCACCGTCATCCGTGTGCTGGTCACAGGAAGCCTGCACCTGGTGGGTGGGGTCTTGAAGCTGCTTGACCAGTCACTCTCGCAATAGAGACTGCCGGGGTGGTGCCTCTGCCCTGCCCTTCGTTGTTTACTTGAATATTCCTTGGCACCTTGTTCCAGCCACTCCAGGGATGCTGGTGACCAAGCCTTGGCCCTGGGGTAGAAGGGGCAGGCTTGGGCCAGCCTCTGGGATCTGAGCCACCTCCTTGCTGTGTGGTCCGCCCTCTAGGCAAATCCTTTTGCCCCAAGCAGCAGGACCTGCTCCTAGGGCTGGAGTTGGCACCCCTGACTTCCACAGCCCAGAACTGGGGTTTTCATGCTCAGCCCCTCATTTGCTGAAGTGAGATCCATGCCCTCAGCAGATCCAGCCTCCCCTGGGAGTGGGCTCTGGTTTGGAGACCCAAGTGCTGGATCCTTCCTGCCTCAAGGCACCTGAGGGGGCAGGCCCTTGTCTGCCAGTCTCATTGCCACTGCTCTTCTCAGTTTGCTGGCAGATCTGTGCCTCTGCCCTCCCAGGAACCAAGAGCCACTGGCACTGGGCCGTTCCTTCCCCAGCTTGCCCAAGCAGGTGCAGGCTGGTAGAAGTCTGTCCCTGTCTCCTGGGACCAACTCCCTCTGTCCTCCCCACCCACTCCAGCTCTGAGCAGCAGGTGGGGAAAGGAGCTGATTGGGGTAGGTTTGCCTGCTTTTCCATGCTGGACACTGAAACCTGGGATGGTGGAGAGTGCTGCTTGCTAAAAAGCAGGAGTGTGAAGGGAAACTCCCTGGGAGAGAGTTGGCATCCCCAGCTGGCACGTGGCCCTCAGTGTGGGGCACCTGCCACCCTAGGCTCTGCTGGGCCAGCCCTGCCACCACTGCCTGGTGCTTAGGGGGTCCCCCCCACCCATCCTTAGTGCCTTTGTCTCCTCCCTGGATTCACCTCCCTAAAGCCTGAGCCTAGCTCAGACCCTAGAGGGGCTCTGCAGAGGCCATTAGTGCCACTGTGCGTCTTAGGCTTAGAGCTGCCTGGGGACTGGCCTTGTTCCTACCCATGGGGAAGGGAGGGGGTCTTGTGCAGCAGGCCCAGCTCCCCCCAAGCCAGCCCCATTCCTGGTGGGATTTGTGTGCTGGCATGAGGCTCTGTGCTGGCATCTAACCCTCCCCTCCTTCCCAGTGCAGGGCAGTGTGGTGCAAGGGCAGCTCTGGAGGCAGTGTGCTGTGTGGGTGCTGACCCTGCTGGCGCCCCGAAGGGGTGGGAAGGGCCTTCACTGTCTCCGCTGGGTAGTAAATATGATGGGGGCTCTGGCCTGTGTGGGGCTGGGCTTGGGAAGGGGCCAGACTGCCCTTGCAGTTTAGGAGCCTGCCTGCTTTCCGGGCCTTGTGCAGTCTGCATTGTTCAAGCAGGGGCTGGCTGCCTGCCTGGAGCCCAGGCTGACCTGTGCCTGGGCAGGCAGCGGCTGCAGGGAGTGCTGGCTTGGAGGAGCTGAGCTACATCTCTGTGGGGCAGAGATTGCAAAGCTGGAGGCTGAGCACTGCTTGTGTCCCCACAGCATCACTTGGGCTCCCCAAGGGGGCATGGCCTATGCTAAAACCACTGTGGTCAGGTGCTGAGCTCAGTCTCCCGTAGAGGTCAGAGGAACTTGGCCTCTGGGCATAGGGCAGTAGTGCTACAGCTGCCCTAGACTAGACAAGATGTTGGATGGGGCAAAGCATGTTACCAGGGCCTGCATTGGCAGGGCTGTGTGAGAGCATGGGGGTGCTACAGGGTGCGTGTCTGCCACTGCGGTGCCCAGCTCAGCCAACTGCAGCACATTTTGAATCGGTGACCAGCAGAGATGTCTGTTCACTCCACTCTGTGCAGGGGCTGACTGGGCTCAGTTTGGACAGAGCCCAGGATGGATCAGGGAATGGACCACGCAGTCGCAGTCATTTGCTCTTGTGGCTAAGTGTGATGCTGGCTATCTGCTTCTCAGGGTACTGTCTTTGATTGCAGCCAGCCTGGCCTGGCTTGTCATTGGGCTGGTGTGTGGAGCTGGCACCGAGGCGTCTAATGGTCCAAGCTGGCCTAGATATGTTCCCAGTGTGCTGTTACACCAGCTTCTCCTTGTCAGTTCAGCACTCAGCAGCAAGGGCCTGCAAAGAAGGTTTCCCTGCTGGCTGTGCAGGGAGGTGGCTTTCGTGATGGTCCATGCCCCTGCCTGCTGACGGTTGCTGCTGCACTGGCTGTGCTGGGAGCTGGGCTGTGTTCGGCCCTGGGTGGCCCTCATCCCCCAGTATGGCTCTGTGCTGAAGCCACCTGTGGCTCGGACCCAGCCGTCTGTCTGTGGGCGTGTGCCCAGGCCTCTGACCATCCCCCTAGTTGTGATGGATCAGACTGCTACAGTCCCGGGGACCAGTGTGCCAACCTGCCTATCAGCTGTGACGGGCTTCTGTCCCCTGCCATGGTGTCCTGGTGCCACCACGTATTTGCCCCTTCCCCTCCAGCTCCAGTAGTAACAAACTGCCAACACATGGGACTTCCTGCGCTGCACCCTCCCCTGCCCTTGTGGGACGTGGTTAGGACACTGTCATCTGAGCTACTTCTTTTGACCCGAGCCCGCCTGCTCCTCCTGTTTAGGAACAACGTTCAAGTCTACTCCCCTCGTAGACCTCTGCATTGGAGCAGAGCAGGGCCTATAGGCACTAGCATAGCACCAGGAGCAGTTTTCACCTGGGCCCTGGCCCAACGGTATTGGTAGTGTAGTGTGGCCTAGTAAAGGGCTGTTACATACAGGATAGATCACAGGCACCATGCAGCAATTGGTGCGGTCTTCTTTATGGGAGATGCTCAGTGCTGCCTAGAGTGGCTGTGACAGGAAATACCTGCTCTGGCTGGAGGTTCGGAAGGACAAAGGAGGGAGAGCAGGGTCCTGTAAAGAGCAGGGTCTGTCTTTGCACAGGTGCTCTGAAGGGACGCCAAAGGCCAGAGCACCCTGGTTTATGCATAGCAGCTAAGAGTTTCAGAGCTGAACATAACCCCCCTTTTTTTTTTTTTTTTTTTTATATATATATAAAATCTAACTGTTACAGAAGGTTTGAGTGAAAATTGCAGGCTCCTGCCTGAGCTCAAGAGTTGTGAAAGAGTCATGGCATGGCCAAGCCACCAGTGGCCACTGCATTGAACTGTTGATGGACGCAATAAATGTTTGGCTCTGAGGAGCTGTGTGCTGTGTTTAATTGGGGGCAAGGGCAGGAGCTGGCACGGGGAGGCCTAGTCTGCATGGCACACACCTTCCTTCCCTTCCCCCCCGCCCCGGGCAAAGAAAGGGCTCCCATGTGGGGTGGGGTGGGGGTAGAGTAGCTCCACTGGCCTCTCAACCTTCAGAGCAGGATTTTGCAAGTTACTCAAGGGCCTGCAGCAGGGCGTCATGTCCTAGAGCTTTGCTGCTGAGTTGTGGAATGGAAGCTGGGCACGACAGGAGTGAGTTCGGGTTTTAATGAAAACCTTTTAAAGACATTAATTCCTAAGACTACACCTGCTGATTCCTAGCCTCAGAGCAGAGCACTGGGGGACTAATTATGCCCCATGAGTAGCTGAGATTCAAAAGCCGAATTGCTCCCTGCTCAGTTGCTAAGTGGAAACATGCTCTGTGTCCGGGGGGGGGGTGTTAATTAAAAGGAAGTTGTAGAGCCCCTGGGAGCGAAGGTAGGGAGGCTGCACCCGGCACTCGGCTGCCAGGCAAAGGGGAAGTGTCCCATCCTTGCTGCTGTGGGAGCCAGGCCTGGCTGGGGTTAGGCAGAGTATTGATGGGGGTGTATGGGAGTGGAGCTGAAGTCTTGCTGGGCTGAGCTGTGGGATTGGCAGGCACAGTGGGTGCCTGCCTGTTGGTGATGGCTATCAATAAATTCTGGACTAGAGTCCCAGCTGCCTCCTGGCAGGTGCTGGCTTGCTGCCTTCAGGTGTTTCCCGCAGCGTGCAGCCAAGGCATGTTTCTTCCTGGCTTTGCTCTCCTGGGCCCTGTGACCCTTTCTAGGACACTGAGCAGGCATGGAGCAGGGAGAGCCTGGGAGCCCCAAGGCAGCTCAGCTTGGTAGGTCAGCAGGGTGGTGCAGGCTTCTGGTGGTGCAGGCTTCTGGAGACTGTGCTTGCTGGGGATTTTGTTTGAGCCCCACTGGCTCTGCAAGGCCTTAAGAGTTGGGGCCAGAAGGAGCTGCCCTAAGGCAGGATCCAGCCTTGGTTTTCTTGGTGATTGCAGGTGTCAGTGCCTGGGTTAAAACTCTTGGTTCCCCACTGATGGGAGGGAGCCAAGAACCAGGAGCAGCGTGGCTGTGGTCGAACGAGATTTCTTTTGACCAACTCCTGCCCCTGGGACAGGAGATTACCAGGCCCCATGAAACTTGGTTTTAGTGGCTGCCCAGTGAAAGGCATGAGGCAGGAAGAAGCCCCATGGCTGCCCCAGTGCAGTGGTGCCTGCTCTCTCTTGTGCTCTAGTGCCTGGCTCCTTGCTTCCTTTTAGCACCATGTGGGTCTGTGTAAGTGAAGCAGCATAAGCAAGCTGATGGGCACAGCGGTGGGAGCTCCTACTGTGCTGTGACGGAGCTAGAGCTCTGCATGCTGAAATGAGAGAGCTGGAGGTCCCAGCAGAGCAAGGCTGCTCCTTCTCCATGCTCTCCCCTGGTCTCAGATGTGGGGGACTAGAATTTGGGAGGCTTTCCTTGTCTCTCTCCCCCCCGCAACTTTAGAGGCAGGGAACAGAACAGATACTATCAAGGAGCCATCTCACATTTAACCGCCACTGGGGAGGCAGAACATGGCTCAGTATCAGTAGATGTGCTCTGAAGGGCTGTGGCCTCATGGTTCTTTCCTATGCCCTGAAAGAGCCAGAGGTGCCTTGAATCAAGGCTGCACAGAACTGTTATGAATCATGTTTATTACGGTGGTGCCGAAGACCCCACCAAGTCCGGGCCTCGCTGGCCAGGGGCAGTGCAGACAGCAGCAGGCAAGCCCTGCCCTAAGGAGCGCACAGGCTATGTAGACAAGGTGGGTGCAGGGTAGAGGGTGATACTCTTCTTGTTATTTCCTGCTTGCTCTCTGCAGGCGAGATGGCCCCAGCCACAGGCAGCTCTGGCCTGGTCTTTCCCTGTTCTCTTCCAGGTTATGTGCTAGGCAAGGAGGTTGCTACCTTGTGGGCTCTGGTTTGCCTTGCCCCCCTGCAACACCAGAGGGGCCTTTAGGTTGCCACGTGGATGGCTGAGGGCAGGGGCTGACCAGACGGTTAGGCACAAGCGCAGAATTGGGGGGCCAGGACCAGCAGCTCCGAATAAACCCTGCAGCGTCATCCCCTTCTGGGAGATCCTCAAGGAGCAGCTTCCAGCCCCTGGGCCTGATGGATCGAGGGAGGCCACTTGTGCTCAGCCTCTAGCTCCGGTTTAGAGCAACTGGCCTTTCTTTGCCAGTCGGCGCCTCTGGGACCTGAGGAGGGTTGTTGCTCTGCCACACACCAGCATCTCAACCTCCGGACCGGGGGGAGCCCTTAGTGAGCAGGTGTTAACACGCATGCTATTCTCCTGGGGGTTGGGGGAAGGCTACTTGGGTGCCTACTCCCCTGGGTTTAGCTGATGGCCTAAAATCACCATTGCTTTCAGCTTGAGAGTTGCGTGCCAGTTTTGCGAAGCCAGAAGCCAGTCAGCGGGGACTTGAGCTGGCTTTGCTTGTCCGGTGCTGCTGCTCCAGGCAGGAGGCCTGACCTGAGCTGTCTTGATTGCTGTTTGCACAGCTGCCCTTGTGTAATGCAAAGAGAAGCCAAACAAAGCATCTTCCTCTCTCATGGAGTTTGTTCCCCTTGTGCCTTGGCAAGAACAGGTCCCCTGGGCCCTTCCATCTGGGCTTCTTCCATCTGGGCTGACCTGCGGGCTTCAGTACATGCAGGGCCAGGCTGGGACAGAAGCCATAAATAAGAACAAAACTGGGGGTACTGGTTGCAGCCTTTCCATGGGCTTCCTCCACAGCTGAAAGGGGCCCTGCAGAGCTGACACCAGGCAACATTAACCCAACAAGAGCTACCTGTATCCAAGAACAGTGGCAGACTAGTGCAGCGCAAATGTGGCATTGACATAATCAGAGCTGTAAACGGCAGAGCTGCGTGGGCCCAGACACGCTCCCTCCCACGACAACAGGGTTCCTTGGCCAGCTTTGGACTTAATAGCCTAGGCTGCCCTAGTGTGACCACCCTTGCCAGGAGGCGAGGGTTTGAGGCCAATGTGGAGCCACGTTTTGAGGCCAAGAACCCATAACTTGCTGCCAACTGCTCCAAGTCCCATGTCACCTCATTGCTCAACAGTTGAAATCCCACCTTCACACTGCACGTTTCTCATTTGGGTATCTGACATGCAGCCATGAAAGCCCAGTCTGGAGCCACTGCAGGCCACTTAAAGAGCAATGCACCCTGCCGCCCTGACCCGCAACACCATTTTCTGTTGCAGTGGCTCAGTTCTCTTCTTGGCCCTGAGGTATGCATCTACCCTGCTTCTGCCTGAGGCCCTGTTCCACACTTCCCTTTCCTCCCTGCCCAAGCCTCGTGCTAGGGCTGTCTGCCACACTTTGCTATATTTGCTCAATTGGTTTGGAAGTAGTTTTTCTCCTGTCCTTCCTGAGATGCTAGCACCTGCTCAGGGGCCTGAGGCAGTTGGAGAGGACAAAAAACCCCAAACCTGTTACATGGATGAGTCTTACACTGCTAACTGACAAGACTATGCTGAGGCCAACACACAGTACACATGCTGTATACGCTGGATAGGTTTCTATATATATATTTATATACATACAGTAGCTGGGGGGGGGGGGGGAGTCAGATCCCCAGAGGTCCAGAGCTTCCTATGGCCAAGCTGATACCTTTCTTTCTCAGTCCCAGCCATGGGTGCAGGGCTGTGAGCCTGGCTGGGAACTGAGGTGCAGGGCACTGAACAGCTTATGCTGCTCTGGGGAAGCTCAGAAGAGCCTCCTGTTGGTCAGCCCCACTCCCAAAGCTCTCGTGATGCCCCATGTCTTATCTTTGCCCCCAACCCTGGCATCTCCTTCCAGGGCTGGGCAGTAATGCCTTCCCCCTGCCTCTACCAGAGCGGGGCCAGCCCCTGCTGCCTCCCCTGCAGGTGAGTGGGACTTAGGGGCTGGCGTACTTTGGTTGTTGCTGTGGGTTGGTGAAGGGAGTGGGCAGGACTTGACTCTTGGGGTGTTTCTGCTTGACTGAAATGCTGGCTCCTGAGCTCACTTTGTGCCAGGCTGTTCCCTGAGGAAGGGCAGGGCCCAGGGTGGCGCAGGGGCTCTGGGGAGCAAACATAACTATTCAATGACTGCGTGAGCTGAATGCACAGCCAGGCTATGCAGACAGGGTCATTGAGGGAGGTGGGGAAAGGCCGCCAAGATGGAGCCTCTCTCTTCTGGTTTGTGAATTCAGAGCTAGCCCGGGGCAGCAGGTGAGCACCAGTCAGTGCTCTCGGGACGGGCTGGGCAGCAGCACTGAGCTGGGTTCACCACTAGCCTAAAGGACCAGTCTCGGGGCAAGGGGAGAGCTGGCCTGGAGGCTCCAGGAGCACATTCAGAGCCTGCGGACAGTGCTGGCATCCCAACCTGGACTTCCAGCCAAGCTCTGCACGTGCAGTTGGTAGCTTCCTTCTTTTGGTGGTGCTCTGATGGGCCACCTGCTGCTCCAGGGTGGTCCGGGGGGCGGGGGGTTGATTTCAGCAGCTTCTCCCAGCAGCAGGTGGTGGGATGGGCAGTAAACCACAGCTCCTCAGTCTCTTGGTCCCTAGAGTTCCCTGCTGCCCAGCTCAGGGGTCTCAGCTGGTTGGGGCTCTGGTATGGTCCATGGTGGGGGGATCCTCTGCCAGCCTCTCCTGGGCAGGGGGTCCCTGCAGGCTGCTGGCTACGCCATGCTGCTGTTGGAGCACGGTGTGCTCTGGGTGCTGCCAATGCTGTGGCTGGTGCTGCTGCTTTCGGAGGCAGGTGGGTTCACAGAGACTGGCTGCATTTTGGCCGTGGGACCTGGAGCATATCACAAGGCAGAAGCATGGAAAACATGAGGGAGGGAATGGGTGGTTTTCTTCACCCTTAGAAAATCTGGGAAAACTCCTAGCTGTCAGCTGGGTGACTGATGACAAGGTACAGCCAGCCTGTGGCAGCTCATCCCAGCCTTGACCTCTTGAGGCCCAGCTTCTTGTTTTCCCTGGCACTGGCCTTTCCTCACAGGGATAAAACCAATCATCCTGTTCCCGCAGCCAGGGCCCAGTTGACGCATTCAGGATGGAGGCCTGCCTCATTGTATTGGCCTGGCTCTATCGCTACTGCCGCGTTCTGGAGATAAACTCTGGGAACCAGGGGAAGCTTGGAGCAGCCTCATGGGTCCTGGGGAAAAGGAGCAGGGCTCCTTATGCAGTGTGGGAGTATTGGAGGGGAATGGGGAGGGAGCAGTGCTCTGACCTTTCACTGGCCAAGAGTTGCAATCCCATGAGACCAAAGCACAGCACAGGCCTTGGGATTGCCAGTGCTGCTATCGCTTCCAGCTGGAGGCCTCAGGAAGATGAGCCAGATGGATTTTAACAGCCTGACAGTATTTTCCGTGGCATGCAGCACTGGGCCGGATGTGCTAGCTGGGGGCCTGGCCCTAGTGCCTCCCTCGAGGAGCAGAGCTGTTGCATGGAGGCAACTGCAGGTTCCTCGGGCCTCGGAGCAGGTCTGAGCCTGGAGCAGGCCACATACTGAGGAGCCTGACTGAGGGAAACCTTGGCTTGGGGCAGGGGCAAGAGGCTTGTCCCCGTGAGCTGTGTCTGGGGCCCAGGTGGGGAGGCCTGTGGAGCAGCCCAGCCTGGGACCTGGCTCAGTGAGCAGGTGTAACAGGTACTCACGGGTGTGGGAATAAATGTACCAGAGCGCGGCGGTGAGCAGGGCACCAATCAGGAAGGCTCCAAAGGTGATGCCCAGAACGGCTCCCATCCCTAGACCCGGATCTGGTGGGATACAAGCAGTCATCAGCAAGGAGTTGCAGACACCCTGGTCCCAACACTATTGCCCTGTGCCCAGGTACCCTTCCCTCCCTGTGGCATCCAGTGCAAGACCCCTTTGTCATTTCCATGCCAAGTCCCGCTGTGCCATGCAGCCACTGGAGCTGCCCTGTCTGCCTGCTCCCCAGTGTGGCCCAGGAGAGGAGAGATGAGAAGGCCCAGTGGGGGGAAGCAAACAGCCAGAGCACAACCTGGCTGAGCCAGAGCAGGACGATTCTTGCCGAGGGCTGGGGGGAAGTCTGGCTACGTGTGGACTTTGCTGCCTGGCAGGAGAGAAGCTTTCCATCTTTGCAATGCTTTGGTGTGGACAGGAGTGTGGCAGCCACATGCCATTGCTGCACCAAACCCTCACTGCCACATGTCACAGCCCACCCCAAGCACAGGATGACCAAGCCCAGCTGGTGCCCACTGCCATGGGCTCTGAGTGCTGGTTTCCCCCCCGCGTGCACCTCAGCCCCCCTGCCCTATAGCTGAAGGGGCAAGGTAGCGACTGCTTCAGGTCTCATTTGACTTATGGCAATTCCTCGAGTCTCAGGACTGTCCAATTCCCATCTCTCCCCAAAATAAAAAAAAGCTGGCAGCTTTCAGCAGCACAGCTCACTCTGGCTAAGCCCAGCAGCTGCTCCCAGCAGTGCCAGGGAACAGGAGACTCGTGTCTGTGATGTGCAGCACGGGGCCCAGCCAGGGCAAACTCATGTCCAAAGCCTTTCCTTGCTTTGTTGGGCTGCTGTCCTGGGGGAGTGGAGCAAACAGAGGCAGGAAGAGGCGGTCAAGGTGGGAGGAAAGCAGGAAATCATCCTGGCTGGGATGGGACTGTGGAAGCAGGGCTGTGTTGCCTGGAAAGATGGGCTTGGGAGGGGGTGTGGGGCTGACCGGAAACCCTGCCACGCTCCCTTACAGAGTAGCTGCAAAAGCTATCACTACTGTGTGGAGGCAGCAGCTGGACACATGGGGTAAGGCTGGATGCAGGCCTGGCTAGTGGAGCAGAACATGCCCCCCCCCCCACAGTGGGGCATCCTGCATCCCTGGTCTTAGCCAGGATTGCAGGCTGAAATCACCTGCCCATGCCCATCAGCACTCGTCATCTACTTTGTTGGTGACAGGCCTATGCCAGATGCAGGTCACACTCAGACCCAGTCCCTGAAGGCTCCCTGGTGGCTGCATCTTCCTGTGCCAGGAGCTACGTGCTGCATGGCGGTCCCAGACCAAGGGACAGGGCCTCACAATCAGGGGCAGGGCGTCTTAGCAAGAATCGCCAAGTATATTTTATATACTGGGGTGGGTGGGTTGGGGGGGGTGTCTATAGGTATAGCTGTGTGTAGTTATAGATACACACACACATACACGCACATGCATGCATGCCTTTAACGTCTCAAGTCTGGGGGAGGGCGATAGGGTGAAGATTCCTCTGTTCTAAGACAAAAGGCAGGAGTCTTGCTTAATCATGTGACTCCGGGAACTGGGCCTTTCAGGCAAGCACCAGACACCATGGAGGCTCAGGCTAAGTATTGCAAAGGTGGCAAGAATGGATGCATCTGTCAGAGAACAAATACAGCCCAGGTCCCTTCCTGGACAGAGCCCGATGTATGCAACATCAGGTGGAGATAAACCAACACCTGGGGGCAGGTGGAGTAGCAGCAATTGTTCAAAACCATCTTACAAGTACTAGCAACAGGAATGGCTGATTCCCCCACCAAATCACCGCAATGCAGCCACCTCTGGGGTGGGCCAGGGCTGCCGTTTAACAGCTGTGTAGGAACACTGCTCCTCAGGCAGCAAAGGCAGGAAATGAAGGTCATTGCCCACAAGTCCCCTCGTGTGCTTTTGCCAGCATGAGCTCCCAGCCTCGCTGTCTTGGCTTGTGCTAGGCCTGTTTACACTGGCTGGGGCTCATGGCAGATCTCTGCTCCCTGCCCCTGCCCTGGTCATGTTGCACATAGGACAGTGCCTGCCCCCCCTGCATTGTCACAGCAGCCAGGGCAGGAGCTGTAGCTGAAGGCAAAGGGAGCTGGGGAAGGGGGTATGGAAAGCAGAAGGAAGCTGCTAGGAATGTGATAAGGGCAACAGTGCTAATGGCCCCTGCAGGAGGCCAGCAGACAAAGCCCTTGTCTACCCCTTCCTCCTCCCCAGACTTACAGCCAGAGCCAGGCCTCTGAGCAGGCATGTGGCATGGCGGGAAAGCCTCAGTGATCCAGCACAGAAGCCTTGTCTCTGCCTCAGGCCAGCACAGGCGATTCGGGTCGGTCTGGCAGAGCTCATGTCTGCATTGCAGCCAGGCTCCCTTGGCTCTGGGCTGTACTGGCAGCCCATGCTGGCTGAGCATGCTGCACTCACACTGATCACTGAAGCCTAGGGCCTCAGCAACTGCATCAGGCACTTCACAGGGCTCTTGGGGAGGTCATTGAGCACCTCTGTCTGGGACTGGGAGAAAAAGGGGTGGGGAAGACAGTGGGAGTGCAGGCCCCTGCCAGAGTGAAAGGTTGGGAAGCCCTGGAGCAGGTCTGCAGGGACTGGTGGATGCACAGAGCAGGGGCAGCAGCAGGGAAGTGAGGGGCATTTGCTGCGGAAGACAGAAGCAAGGGGGTTGGGGTGAGTCCTGATGCAAGGGATGCAAGGCCAATGCTGGGGCTCTGGCAGGCCCCACAGGGATGCTAAAGGCAGTGTCTGGCCCCGCTCTCCATGTCCATGCAGCCCAGTCCCCAGACTGTCTAAGCTGCTCCCCACACAGCCAACAGGGGAGGGAAGGGGTGGCTTCCAAAGATAACCAGCCTTTGCTGATGCTTCCGGGCTACCCGCTCAGACCAAGCAGGGCCCTATCTCCCTTCCTCTGGGTTATCGCCTGCGTGTTTTCATCTCCGCTGTCCTGGTTCCAGAATGGGCTCCCCAGGGCAGCACAGGCTCCATGCAGCCGCCCCAAACTTGCCCTCCCCTCCCCGCAGGCAGGACTTCAGCACTCAGCCACGTGCTTTGCTCTGCCCTCTCCTGACCAGGCTGGGCTTGGTTTCCCCTTCCAGTGTATTTGCTAATCCTCTGCTTTTGCCCATTGCTCCCAGCCTTGTCTGCGCTGTCCACAGTGGTCTGAGGCGAAGGGCCAGTAACACGGGATGAGTCCAGTGGGACAAAGACCATACTTGACACTGCTTCCGCTTGGATGGTCTCCCCTTAGTCCTTGCCTGCAGCCTGGCTTCTGTTTTATGGGGTATTTCTCTCCTCTCTGTTCACCCTGGTCCCTAATGACTCAGCTCCTGCTTTTATATGGAGGGAAGACACTAATCCTTCACTTGCCAGCTCTGGGCAGGGATCCAGGTGTGCCGCTCACCCTGGAGCAGTGCATAGGACATGCAGGCAGATCTCAGTGACTGTCTAAAATAGTTACATGCTGCAATGCTGGCTCTCAGCTCTGCACCCCCTGCCCCACCCCACCTGGCAGAGATGGACACTCACTCTGTGGAGGGAACTTGGAGTCCTGCAGCGTCACCTTCAAAGCCTTTTTCAAGACAGTGCTGTTCTCAGACTGAGAAAAGAGAAACAGAAGGGGTAAGGTGTGCAGCTCCCACCCTGGTCCAGGAGGAGAGCCCAAGCCAACCTAACCTCCGAGTGGTGATGGGAATAGCGGACACAGGATGTCAGCCACAGAGGACCCCCCCCCACACCACCACTGGGGCATGGCATATAGACTGGGAGCTCTGGAGCCAGATCCTTCCTGGATCAGTCACAGGACCTGGGCCAGGGGACCCTGCTGGAAGAGGGGAGTGGAGTTGCCTCAGCATAGCAACCCAATCCAAGTTATGTGTGTGTGGGGGGGGTAAACCCCCACTGGCACACTAGGCTGGCTGGTGTACATGCTGTGCAGTCTCTGGAACCAGATATGAGCAGCCTGGCACCACACAGGCAGCAGCTGCTGCTCCACCTGGCAGGATGGGACAGGTCTGTGGCAACTCTTCTCAGGGCTCCTGGGCAGGTGGGACGGTGTGTGTCCTAGTCTGACAGATGAGGAGCGAGACAACGTGTCTTGGCCCCGTTAGGCCAGGAACAGCACACAGCCTCCCCGGGGAGCAGGGAGGAGCCACAGCCCACACTCACGCTGTACTGCAGGGCAATTCTGCAGAGAAGACTGGCAGTCGGGGGAGCCCGCTGGTCGTCTCCAGGGCTGTAGATGAAGCTGAAGCGCTGGGTCTTTCTGTCCAGAGTGGGCTCTGGCAGCTGTAAGATTTCCACTGTGGGGTTACAGGGCTTGTTGTCTTTGACCAGGGGCAGAGGCTCCTGCCCAGCCAGCTCCAGCTGGCACTCTAGCAGCTCCAGCTCCAGCTTGTCGTCCTTCATCCAATGTCGCACCTGCAGAGCCAGAGGTGGGTCAGCATGGGCCTCAGCTCCCTCCTGCCGCCTGAGCCACGAGGGAGCAAAGTCAAAGGATCCAGCCCATGGGCCTGCTCCAGCCCAGCTTGGGAGCAGCAGCACAGATGCCGACAGGGAGGATTCCAGCCCCAGGCCCCACCTGCCAGCTCCAGCACCTGGCCTGGGTGACTGCTTCTCTGAGCATGACCCCTGCAGCCCAACCCACAATAGGGTCAGCTCTCCTATTGGCTGGGCCTGAGTCACCAGGGACCTAGCTCTGAGCTCTTTGGTACCCTGCCCCGGGCTTGCCCTGCACCTTCGGTCTCTTCATCACTGAAGGAGCCAGCAGTCAGTGCAAGTGGAGAGGGAGCTTCCAGGCAGGGAGGGTGGGGTGCTTAGTCCTAATCTGCAGCCCCGTTCTTTGGAATTGGCTCCTCCACACCCCTACCGGAAAGTCTGGGTCCTGAGCTGCAGCCAGACCCAACCATCACGCAGTCCTGCCAATGCACCTCCCCCTGCTGTGCCAGTGTGCCCAGGCCTGCCCAGGCCTGGGGTTGTAGTTGTAGCCCCTCTGGCCAGAGCTGCCGTGGGTCTCTGACAGACTGTCACCCTGGCAAGGGGCCGGGGCATGCTCTAATTAAATAGTGTCAGACCCCAAAGAGGACTTCCATCCAGCTTTCGAGGCAAAGCCACTGCTGTATGGGTTTGAACGTCACAAAGCCATGGCAGCCCAGCAAGGCTGCAGCCTGGCTGCAGTCCCTGTATGAGAAACCATAGTACCTGGACATAGGCCACTTTGTTGGCTTCCAGCACGGTAGTGGAAGGCGATCTGAATTCTGGGTTGTGGAAGAGCTGCAGAGACATCTCTCGGTCCTGGACAGGGATTTGGCACCCAAAAGGTACCTGTGGGGGAAAGGCACAGGGATGAGCCACAGGGCAACCTCTCGGACTGGAGCAGGGCTGGATTCACCCAGTCTCTGGGGAGTCACAGTGATGGGTCATGGGCCTCACAAAGGGAACCCTGACTCCTGGAGCTGGCATGTAGGCATGCACAAAGGGGTGGAGGGAGGGGAGGTGGGATCTCCCAGACTCCTGGATTCTTGCCCCAGCTGCCAGGTGCTGTCCCAGCCATGGTCCCAGAGGCAATGACTCAGCCACTCCCTGTGGGAGATGCGCATGTCCAAGATGTTCCCTGCTTTACCTGCTCCAAGTCCCACAGCCTGGTGTACCCCTTGGCACCACCAACCTGACAGCTGGCTTAGCTGGGGGGATGTGGCAGTAGGTTACAAGTTTCCCAGCCTTTCCAGACCCCAGACCCTGTGCAGCCAGTTCCTACAGTCTGGGGGGATCTGTGCTGAGCACCACGGTCCTCAGAATTAAAGACCCAAAATGCTCTCTGCTGCATTACTACCACTGCATCTCAGTGATTTCTAGAATCACAAAAGCCTTCCTGTCCCTCTGGGTGGGTTTTATCATACAAACCCTGTCAGGGGAGGAGAGAATAAGAAAGCTCTTTGGCCCCTGAGATGTCTCTGCAGCAGCAGGGACAGGAATTAGGGAAGAGAAGAAATAGAGATGGAAACAAGAGAGAGAAACCTCCCTGATCACAGCCTTACCTGAATTTCCTGTTGAGGACCAGCCAGTGTCAGGATCAGCTGGGGACAAGAGGAGAAAGGGAAGCGTGAGGGTCCTGTGGATGGCTCCTTGGCCTGGCACAGGAGAGAGTGTTCTGAGCCCTGTGTTCCCAAGAAGTGACACGGGCCATGTGCCAGGTGTGGTAGCACTTAATTCAGGTAGAGGGGGCTAGGTGTCCAGCAGACAGGTGCTTTCTAGCCACTTGGTTCCAGATGCAGCCCTGCCTGCTGAGACTTGTAGCCTTTGCTGCCCATGCCTCTGCATTACACAAGAGGCAAGAGGCTGCTTTTCTACAAAGTCCGGGTTCTGACAGTGCAAAACACTGGGCGTCCTCAACTTCCTGTGAAGTCACTGGGGATTAAGGATGCTCAGCCCTCCCAGATCAGGCTTGTGCAGTTGCTGACGTGGTGCTCAGAACCCACATGGGGTAGGGAGGATCCTAAAGGCAACCACTTTTAGGGCTGACGTGATCCATTCCAATAGGCTCAGATGTTCGTTTCTTAGCAAAAGCTGTGGCTGTCATGCCTACACCCATACCGAGAAGCCCGGAGAGAGGAAACATGAATGCTCAGCGTGGACCTGAGTCACATACTGTGTGCACTGGGGCAAAAGTGGGTTCGAACAGCTCCATGAAGTGACGTGAAATTTCTGAACCAAGAGTGGAGACGACGTACCGGGAGAGGCAGGCAGGTCTGCAACCAAGTGCTAAAGCCTAGGAATCCATGTGCTGGAGGAGGCACAGGATCTAGGGACCTATACCAAGAACAGGGTCAGGGAGGGAGGTTCCCTGATGTGAGACTGCAAGCAGCAGCACCAGGGTATGTTCTGCTGACCTTATTTGTGACATGGATTCCATCCTTCACCACGGTGGAGCATTTCTCCAGAAGGCTCATCAGCACAAACTGGGACCCATTTTTTGTAGCTTTGCAATTGGAGTCCTGAAGCGTAACTTCAGCGATGGGCAGATCTAAACCCTATGGGCAAAAGATACCTCTGTGTTCATGAGCTGTTAGAGGCAGAATCCCAGGCCAGCTTGGCTGTCCCTAACTTGGTTGGAGTGTGTCTCGCATCTCCACTGGGGAAAATCAGGACCAAATCCTCTGACCCTTGGTGTCTGGGTCCCATGGTCTGAGAGGGCTCTGCATGGCAGAGTCAACAGAACGCAAAGGCCCAGGTCCACAACGTGCTGCCCCCTTCCCTCAGGCCCACAGTTCACCACCAAGCCCTGCATTTCTCAGTAACATCCCAGCCACTCACAGGTATGAGATAGCCGGGCATGGCTATCTCAATGGAGTCATTCGTACACTTCCATGGCTTCATCAGGTTGAGCTCTGAGCGGATCTGGTCATCAAGGCTGAGACTCTGTCCAGCTGTCGTTGTTGAGATCACTTTCTTCTGTGCTATAGAAATCAAACACCAGAGAAGCACTGAGAAAGGAGAGACGGGGGCAGCAGTGTCTTGGATGGCTCAGGGGCTGCAGGGATTTGGCAAGATGAACCCACTGGGGTGATGCCAGCCCAATGGCCAGAGCAGCCCTGAGGAGGCAGGAGAAATGCCCAAAAGGCCTGTTCCTGGGCAGGCAAACCTCCCATTGTAGGCAGTGGGACACATGCGCAGAAGCAATCCTGCTGGGCTCAGTGGTGCTGTGGAGTTTCTGAGAGCTTGGGGGAGGAAGTGGGGGGACTGTCTTGACAGTTGGTGAAACTCTCTTGATCCTCAAAGAAAGCAGCAATAGGATAGCAAAGATAGCAGCAACTTCTACCCTGCACCCTCCAAAGGCCTCACCCCCTGAGCTGCAGGGAGCCAACTTGGAGGCAGGCAGGGGACTGCACTCTTCACTTCCGGGCCTGTTCAATCCTGGACCAACCGAGCAACACTGCTAATCTGGGGAGCACATTGTACTAATTCTGCTGTGCCATGGACACTTCCCCACTGGGCCCTGGACTATTGGCATCAAATGTTTCCTGTGAGCTGTCCAGGCACCAGCAGACGGTAACACGTCTCAGTCACTACTCACCTAGGCCAGTGACTGCCCTGAGCCATCTCGCGGCTTTGCTGGGGAGCCAGTAGTCTGGCCAACAGCCAAGCTAAGAGACAGTGCAAAAAGGAGTATCTCTGCAGACTCACCACATTTCTGTATCCGAATGGTCACATTACTAGCAGAAGGGATGTCCAGGTACGAGGCTATGATGCTGTAATTCATCTCCAGGACCCTGTTGATCAAGCCCTGCTCTGTGTTGGGAAGGTTGTTTCCAGCAACTTTCATTGGAATGCCTTGGAGAGCGTAATTCCCAGATGCCTGAGGGAGGAGATTAGGAGATTTGGGATTTTAGAGATTAGAGAGGAGGGATTAGGAGAGACAGAAGATGGAGAGAAGGAAGGAGGAAGATGGAGCCAACAGTCATTGTTATGTGGGAGGGTGCTGGTGACTGCCAACTTGTCTTTGATCTATGGGCACTTGCAGACCTTGCTGGAGCCTAGGGGCAGACAACCACCCTTCATTCATGGTGAACAAAAGAGCAATTTAAACGCCTGTTTTTTTAATGATAACGGAAACAATAGAAACACTTTCAAAAGCCCAAGGCTTTAGCTCATACGGGAAGGCCCAAGCAAAACCACCACAGAGAGGATGGAAGGAGGGTTTCAGGGACAGACTGCACACGCAGGGGCTCAAGCTTGGATTGCTGGAGCTGCTGAGTCTGTACGTGTAGAAGCCAAGAGAAATGCTGGGGGCACAGGACTGGCCGGAAAGCAGGCCTGGCAGCTCTGAGCAAGGCAATTACCTTCTACTCTTTGTTCCTGCTGTGGTCAAGAGAGCAGGACTCTGTGGGCAAACTGTACATAAACAGGTCTGTAGCAAAGACATCCCTGACTCATATAATGCATTTCCTTAATGGGAACAACCTGGCAAGATGCTGAGCTGGGCTAACCCCCCAGGGCCAGGGGCAGCAGCAGCATCATCAGAGGGATGTGTTCCTGGTGCCTTTTCCCAGCCTAGCGACTGAGACTGAGAGGACCCAGGCATTGTGGGGTGGCCAGGACGAGCTCCCAACAGAGCCCAAAGGCTTTGGCAAAACGGAGGCCGGGCTTCTGACAGAAAGGGCCCCTGCTGCCTCAGTGAGAGGCATCTGTCCCTCAGAACAAGCCTCTGCCATCTTGTACCATGTCCCTTTGGGACTTACAGACTAGGCTGCATCAGGCAGGGTTGGTACTTGGAACGCACGCCTCAGAGGAGCACCTTTCCAACAAGCTCCAGCAGAGAGGTCTAGGCTCCTGGTAATTTATGCACGTCCCCTGCTGCTTCTTGGAGAGTGGGACGGTAAACCCAGAGCTCCGGCCAAATGCCAGTGTGGCCATATTCTGCCTCTCTTAGCTCCTCTTCCCCCTCCACAGCATTTCTGGGTGCTGTGGAAAGGCCCCTGCCTTCCACACGCAGGGGCTGCTGTGTCCCAGCTTAGCAGCCCCCATGCCCAGGTGGTGAAGCGCTTTGCAGGACAAGCCATGAGAGAGGTGTGAGGGGGTCCATCACTGCCTTACCATAATCTGCATGTCCTGCTGCAGGTTGAGGAGCCAGGACATGTTGGGCTGGCTTTGGAGGACCAACATCCTTTGCAGATTCTGTGGCACTTCTCCATTTTGGCAGTTCATCTCCACGTTCACATCTGTTTCCCAAGAGCTATGGAACAAGCCCCAGAATAAACCACAGTGACCATGGGCCCAAGCACCCTCCTGGGCTATTAGTGTGTGTGGCACACTATTAGTGTGTGTGGCACACTAATATTCCATTTTCTTGGTCCTCCCTGTAGGCAGCTATCAAAGGCCACACCTGGACGCTGGCATGGGGATCTCTAGGACTAGCTGTAAGAGGCATCCCCGATGTGTAAGCACCCTCCTGCCAAGGGCAGGCCTCTTCCACAGGCTCAAATCTGCCACTGCCTGGCTAAGCTCAGGGCACCTCCTTAGCCTCGCTGACATGGGTGAACACTGCGGAGCTGTATGCATGGCTCTCTTGATCACTCACACACACACACACACACACACACATATGCCCATCACTGGAGACCGGCCAGAGGAGCTTTGCCTCCTCCTCACCAGACCACACCAGTGGTTACCTGGGGTCCTCTGGCCCCTGCACCCACAGGATATGAGCCTCCTTCTCCTTCATCTCGTTGCTGGTGCAGGTTTTAACATCATTGGACAAGAGCTCGGCCTCTAGGTAGTGCCGGGCATTGAAGCCTGCTTGAGGATGGCAGTCAGGGGGGCTGCTGGCATCTGGAAGGGAGAGAAAAGAATCAGTGGTGTTACAGAGTGTGGGAAGCTTTGCTGAACCATATGGACTTCCTTCTCCTCCTCCTTCTGGGGGGCCTGGTCCCACAGACATGATACAAGACCTCTTCTGTACCCAGTTGCAGGGGGAGAACAGAGGTGTCCCATCTCCCCTCCTCTCTGCTGTAACTAGAAGGGCTCCAAGCTACAAGTGTGGCCAGGGGCCAGGGAATCCTGCCTATGGCAGCCCCCCACTTCCCCAGTGCAGCTGGGCTCAGCAGAGAGAAGACATGGCTCATGCCACCTCTGAGTGCTTGTAAGGAAGATCACACTGCAGAGATGGTTGCGGGCACTGTTGGGGCACTGCTGAGAGGACGTCTGCAGAGCTAACTGAAAGTCAGCTCTGTCTTGATTAAGCCTCAAAGCCCAGGGCTGAGTTTTTTGGCATCATGGGTGTAACCAGGGCTGGCTGCTTTGAACTCCCTCGGTCCTGGACAATGTCTGGCCGGGGAGGATGGTTTCTTGCTGCTCCCCTGCAGTGTGCCCAGCTCCCGGCCTGGCCCATGGGTGAGTCTGACCAGCCAGAAGCTTGCGAGAGGCTCATGGACCTACCTTCGCCCAGACGGAAGAAGATGTGCTGGGGGTTTTCCAGCTCGGTGTAGGATGTAATGCCCCCATAGGTGGTAACTGCCCATTTCACAAGCTCTTCGCTGTTGTCGGACAGAGAAGCGTTTTCTAGTCTTGCTTCGGTACCGTCTTCGAAGATAAGCACCTTGGCACGGAATATGATGTTTGGCTTTGCGTCCTGGGAGTGGGGACACACAGGCTCTGAGATACAACAGCAAGGAGGGGGCTGCTCCCTGGGCAGCGCCAGGGCCCCTTGTCACACCCTCATTGGGTCTCTAGCTGGGCTGGGACCCCCAGTACCATGAGAGTTTCCTGGGGGCTGCAAGGGCTTTGCACCTCATCCCCCCCAGGGCATTCCAGCAAGCAGAAACAAGGGCGGTGCCAATCAGTAATGCTGGATACCTGCCTATGCTGGATGCCACGGCTGGCCCTGCCCACCCCTCTCGGGGACAACTGAGCCCTGCAGCATGGTTGTTTATTCCTCTCCCCTCAGACACAGAGCCACAGCCTGCGGCCACCCGTGCTGGCTGCCTTTAGGGTCTGCTTGGTGGCCTAATAGGAAGCCTGCATCAGCTGGCAGGGCCTGGGAATTTTCCACAAATGCTCAGAGGAGCTGGTGCCTGGCCTCTCTGCTCCCCTGGCTTCTAGGGTCATCTTTTCCCAGCAAGTGAGGACAGGAGCAGTGAGCAAGACCCAGGCTGATGGCTTGCTTCCCCGGCAGTGCGCAGAGGAGCCGCCAGCGCAGCACTCAATCTGATAGCGCCTTGCGCCCGGCCCCGGCCTCCCCCATTGTCAGCCCATGTTATTATTAGACACAAATAGGAAGGAGGCTTATTTTGCTAACAAAGCTCGCAGCCCTGGCTGAGCCTGCTGGAGCCAAGCCCCATCCCTGACCTTCCTCCCAACAGGCAGAGGAAGCAGGAGCCTTTGCAAGTCCTGTGCGTCACTCCCCGCGCCGACTGGCTGCGGGGAGAGGGGGGGAAGCAAATAGCAGCCAGAGCCTGGAGCCACAGGGAGGGGGCGCTCAGGGACAGCGATGAACCCCCAGGCCAGGTGTAGGGACAGCCTGGGGGCAGGAAGCCAGGCACGCTCCAAGCAGCAGGGAAGGAAGGGGGTGTTCTCTGCTGGACACCGACCCTCCAGACACATCCTGCTCAGCCAGTGGCACGAGTGTCAGGCATCGTGGGGGCAGCAGCACCTGCCTAGCCTCAGCAGTGGCTTCCCCATGGCATGGCTGGGCACTGGAGAGAGCTAAAACTGCATTGCTTGCCCCAGGGAGGGGATGGTCTCTATAGCTGGGGGGTCGCCCCCTCTCAGTGCTCCCAGCCTGCCAGGGAAGGGTCCCTGGAGTTCATTGCAAGTTGGGGAAAGCCATGCTGGGCTGGCCATTGGAATGGCCCAGGCTGCAGCAGGGAGCCTATAAGCATTTGCTAACAGGCTTGCCTGGACCCCAGCTCGCCCCCGCACTGAGAGGCTGAGCACGTGGCTGCCCATCTACATACCCAGCTGGGTGTCCAGCAGCCCAGGACAGAAGTAGTGACAGAAAGGGTAGATCTCCCTGGCCCTGCCACACCACTCTCTGCAACCCCTGAGCCTCTTGGCAAAGGAAGTGTGTCTGGGTGCCCCAGGCTGATGAGCTGGCAGTTCATCTCACAACCTACACAGACACCCGTCAGGTCAGTGTGTGTTGGGCTCCATGCAGGTATATTGCAATGGGGACCTAAGCTCAGGAGTCCAGGGCCAGTTCAGGTAAGGCTCTGCCACATGGTAGCAACTGCAAGAAAGACACCTTAAATTGGGGGGGGGGGAGTTATCTACCACTGAGGGAGTTCGGTGAGCTGTTGTAGGCCAGGGCAGCACCCTGCCTTCCCCTGTAACAGCTCATCAAAACTTCCTAAGTGGCAGCTTAATAGACCTGGGAGCAGATCGGGACCTTCATGCTATCACTGTCCAGGGATCCCAGCCCCAGCCCTGGCATCTCCATGGAGAGTGGCTTGGGACCTGTGTGGGCAGGGCACACACAGTCAGGTGGACAGGATGATGCTGCAGGTTGGGGGGAGGAGGGAGCGGCATCTGGAAGCAGGATGGGCAGGTGGGGCTGGGATTGCGGAGCAGTGACAGCACGGAGCTGAGCCCAAGGTAGAGCCATGATTCACTCTCCACATGCCCCTGCCTGCAGAACCAGCGCCCATCACAGGGATGTGCGGGCAGTGGATCATGGCTCTGCCCTGGGCCAGGGACCTGGCCCCATGCTGTCACTACCATCCTGGCCCTGGCTCTGCCCACACATCCCACCTCCACTCCTGGACGCAGCTCCCTGCTCACCCACGGCCCTATCCCATCCACCTGGCCAAGTGCACCCTTCCCACACAGGTCCTGGGCTTGGAGACTGTCTGCCCACTTGCTCCATGAGTCTCCTTTCTATGGAAACTGTCTACCTACCCGCTCACACCTGGCAGCAGGTGCAGGGAGGACAGGCTGGAGTGCCTGGGCAGCAGGGCCAGGGCTCACAGTGGTGGCAGCAGGAAGGAGCTGCCACCACTGAGGCTGCTGGGAAGCAAGTCTGGCAACCATGCTGCCCTGGCCCCACTGTGCACCCAGGGGCAACAGGACCAGCCACACGTGCCATGGCCCAGGCTGCCCTTCGTACCTGCAGTGGGCAGGGCCAATGGACTCACTGCTCCTGGAGAGCTTGCAGTCCTTCCAACCACAAACGATACCCCAGAGGAGGTGAAGGGGGACTGGAAGGAGGGGGCAGGACCTTGCTGCTCTTTTGAGCCATTTCCTTCTTCCCTGGGGGGCAGCACCGGGGTTTCCAGTGGGGGATCACATGCCAGCTCCAGCCTCTGCTGTTTGTTATTGACACTAATGGCTCCTGTGGGGCTCAGCTTGGAATCTGGGAGATTTCTTCCAGCTGCGGCAGTGGAGACCAGCCAGCCAGCCAAGACCTCTCCCTGCCAGGGCTGTGGCACAGCCTCACTCCCAGGGCCTCCAGCTGTTTGCTTCCCATTCTCAGACAGAAGACAACCGAGACAAATAACAGGACACGGGAGCCCTGCTTCTTTCCCCTCTCTTCCCACCCCTCTTTCCTCCCTCCCTGTAGTATAGCATGTTTCATTGTGGTTCTGCTCTCTCCTGCCCTGAAGGTCAGGGTGGTCTTGTCAGTGCTGCTGGCACACTCACAGGTGCAGCACTGGGAGGCACAGTTCTCACCTGTCTGGGGGACATCTTAACAGGCCAAGAATGAAGAAACACGGTCCCAGGATTGCTGGAGTAGATTGCCAACACCACCTTCCTCTCGGGGGCCTTTCTTTCCAGGGACACGTTCAGCAACAAGAACGGATTCTGAGGGAAGGAATGGGATTACATCATTCAAACTCCTTGCACCCAGGAACACATGGGGCAGCATCACATGCATGGGGCACCTTTTAGGTGGGGGGTTTTATTGCAAAAGAAGCGAATGCAAAAGAACAAACCAAGAGGCAAACACAGCAGGATCTGGGGTCTTCATATACAGGGGCTTCACACCCCTGGCCAGCGGCTGAATGAGGGGTTGGCAGTAGGTGCTTGCTGCTGCTTGTACTTCAAGAAGTGCCACTTCTACCCTCAGCTGGGGGTCCTCACAGCTGTGCATGGCAGGTTGGGGAAGTGTTGCCCTTGGAAAGAAGAGTTGTATGTCCCAGACATGCACAACCTCTCCTCTCCACAGTGGGGTAGGTGCAGAGCATTTGGGCTCTGCTGAATAAAGTCTTGAATAAAGAGAGACTTGACCGGGAGCCTTTGGTCTGCAGGCTGGTCACTCCATGGACAAAGACTCTTCTCTGTTGAAGCTGGGGAAGAGGCCAGCTCTACCCTCTGGGAGGAAAGTCACAAATCCTGCCCCCTGACTGTGGCTAGGTGAAGGGAGCATGACCCAGGCCGTGGGGCGAGGAGCTCCCTCACACAAAAGAGCTGGGAACATCCGTCCATCAGTCCCCAAACCTCTCCTCCAATCCCCTCTCCCCCAGAACTGGAGCATGGCCACAAGGTACACGAGCAGCTTGCCGGGAGCCCAAGAGTCACAGGCGTGGTGGATCATAGGCACCCTGATTTCTGCCTGGAGCCATGGCCCACCCAGAGTCCAGCTTCCTCTATTCAGGCCCATGACACCAGCCAAATTAACCTGTTTGGCAACCACACACCACAAGCAGCTTCCAAGCCACATGTTAGCCATCCCTACACTAGACGGTGCCCATCCAGATGTGCACGAATGACCCTGTGGTAATCTTGTCCTGGTGCTCTTAGACACTGCTCTGCTCAGTGGTGATGTTTCTGACCTGGCTGCCATGAGAGCATCCTCCGCGCCTGGATTCAGGCTCCAGAGTGATGATTTAAGCCTGGTAATAAGCTCCAGATTTCAAGCCCTGCATGTGGAGACACCATCCTACAGCCTTACTGCAGGACCCCAAGCCCTGCTGCAAGGTCCAGAGTGGAAAATTACCCTGAGTGAAATAGCAGCTATGGGCAGACAAAGGAGACCTCTAGCACCACAGGCCTTTGCCCCAGCACTGCCTGAAGGCATCTGCCCAGCGCTGACTCAGGAAGCATCGCCCCCACTTCCTGCAGCGGCCTGGGCTTTCCCCACAGGTCAGCCCACCCTGACCCCATTGATGAGCTGATGGTGCCTGGGCTCCCGGCTGGGTGATTCAGGGCAGAGTTTCCCGCACATTGTGCACACACACCCTGCCTGTACCAGGATGATCTTATCGGGAGCTACTGGAAAGAAACAAGCAAGAACTCTCCCCCAGCCAAGCTGTGTATAATAATGCACCGCTGTACCCAGCCCTGCGGTGCCACGAGGCATCCAGTAAGTATTACTCTGGGTGGCCCCAGGACCCCGGCAGGGCCCTACAGCCCCGCAAAGAGGAGGGGCTTGCTTCTATTTTTACTGCTGTGTGTTTTCCAGAGGCCATTGTTCCTCTTCTCTAGAGTGGCGGGAGGCTTTATTTTACCCCGTGTTGCCTTTTTCATGGGGATCTGCTTATAGAAACTGGTTTCCAGTAATTCTTCTATAAGTGGAGCCTGGTCACTCGGGCTCCCCCGCCCCACAGTCGGGGCATGGTGCCAGCTGTCTGAATGCCGTGGCTGTGACATCAGCCCCTCTGTGCACAAACAGATGCGGGGGGCTGGAGTCTGGGTTATTTATTTACATGCCATGACAAAGGCCTGGCTCCCACCTGTAGCGGGATCCCAGCTGTCTGCTCCTGCCTTGGCCCTCCCTTCACAGTCAGGTGCCTGGCAGCAGCCTTAAGGGAGATAGTGCGGAAGAGCATATTCATGTGGCCCCTCCTGAAGCCTTGGCTGAGCCTGCACAGACCTTGCGTTCCAGGGCCCCAGCTGTACTGTTCCTGGTTCCTGGCATGTCAAGGGGACAGGGACAGATTTGGCTCCAGAGCTAAACTATTCCATGTTGGGGTCCCAGGTTCTGGTACAGGCTTCACTGTAGAAGTAGGCTGGTCTACAGGGCCAGACATCAACCTGACACCTAGGAGAAGGGGCTGGATCTACTAGGTGGGCAATTTGCTTGGGCTTTGTCTATGTGGCCCAAAGCTCTGCCAGGCAGAGATCTCAGACCTGGTCTGTAATCACTAGGCTTGGGCATGGGGAGCCTAGGCTAACACACCCAGCTTGTCAGACTGAAAAGAGTCCCTGACAGCTGCTTTATCACTGAAGATGTAGTCACATTGGCTTGGACCATCTGGAGGCTGCTCAGTATCCAAAGCATAGTCACTTATCCCCTTCTATGACTGCACCTTGTAGTCTGGAGTAGGCAGCCCAGGCTCCAGGTGAGCTGGAGGGAGCTGTGGCCTCTCCTTCACCCACAATAAAGCACCTCCTTTGGACTGCACATGGCTGGGCCCTGGACATCTCTCCCTCTTATCCCTTTGACATGAGCTCCTCCACATGAAAACCTCGCAGCTGACATGCCTGCAGCCTCCTCACTCCACAGCTCAAGCCCCTTCTCTGCCCCAACCTCCAAGTGCTTCTGGACCCTTTGGCCAGGGGGTCTCAACTCAGCAGATTCCCAGTGCCCAGGCTGGGGCCAAGCAATGCAGCTTTTTGGCCTTAAATGGTTCTGGGTGGCCAGATGCCAGTGGAGGATTCTGGCTCTGGCGTCCCCGAGCGGGCGGCACAGCCCATGAAAGCCTGGTGAAGGGGAGAAGCCCAGCAGCCTTCCTCCTGCTGCACACAATGGACAACAGAAACATCCCGCCCAGTCGGCAGACATGGGACTCCAGAGGAAGCAGAGGAGCCCTGCACCCTGCCCTGCCCTGGGCTGTGTCGTGCTGCGGCTCTCGTGCGTTCTGCTCACTGCATCTTGGGGCTCCCAAAGCAGCCAGTATGCGGAGATGGCAGCCCTTGTGCCTTCAGCCTGGCTGCCTCCTTCATGCACATGGAGACTTTGCCATCTGTTTCTCTTGATCCTTTTTCCTCACCAAACCACCTGGGGTGCGCTTTGTTCCTGGAACCTGTGCTATGGTTTCCTGTTAATACGGTTTAGTCCAGGATAAGAACACATACAGGGCTTATTTTGGGAGCTTAGCATGGAGAGCCCCTGGCCAACTCAGAAGGAAACAGTGTTCCTTCCCATGTAGAGGAAATTGCAAGTGATCTCTCGAGTGTATTTTAACAAACTACTTCCAGCCTTGCAGTGGCAGGACATTGATGGTGCCTTATTCCCCCAGCTTTGCTCTTACCAAGTTAACGGTTGTTTTTGATGTTTCGGACATTGTGCCTGCTAGTTGTTCCCAAAGTTTTCAAGAGCAGGTTAGACAAATGCTTATCCAGGAGGGTTTAGACAGGGATGGTCCTGTCTTGAGCAGGGTACTGGGCTAGATGTGCCCTCCTGCAGGCCCTGCCAGCCCAGCTCTGCTATGATTCTTTGACTTCATTGTTAATGCTAAGGCGAGCGGTCTGAAGGGTGGATGCTGCTGCAAAGAATTAGCTGTGGGGAGGAGTTCAGGAAAAGATGAGTGCGAGGAAGGAGAGAGGAAGGCTGCTAGTGGCAACTCCATACGTCTTTATAAACAACCATCCTTCTTGGCCTCCGAATCCCAAGAGGTTTCAGTGTCCTCACACTGGTGTGACCTCATGCTTTCAGTTCCAGCTTCTGCCTTCAGCTCCACCCACACAAAAAAAGAAGTTGGTGATCGGAAGCGGAGCTGGGTGGAATCACGGGGCAGCATCAGCTGTGTCTGCAGTCTTAGGGTCAGTGGTTTGCTGTAGCAAGTTATGCTTTCCTCTGCAGTGACCCTCTGTCACCCTGAACCCAATGACCTCTAGCTCCAGAGCTAATGGATTTGAATCCAGCAGATGAGGGCAGCAGCAATCAGTTAGCTACTGCAGCTAGGGCAGGAAAAGGCAATAAACACTTGCCTGCGTGTTACACATTTGAAAAGAATAACTAACCAGGAAGCACATTCTTTCCATCCCTGTTTGTCAGCAGGACATTGCTGTATTGGTCTCATTTTGGAAAGGACAGTCTCTACAAATGAGCTATAGTATAAAAAAGCCGTAAGGAGCTGTCCACCTCCTCTCCATGGGTGAGGATAGGAATGGGAGATGGGCCCCTGTGCTGAGGAGCTGACAGTCCAACTCAAAGGGCCCAACACGGAGGATGGCTCAGATGAAATATAGCAGGAAATCCTCCTCCGAGAATCAAGCATTTCACACTGATTCGTCTGTCTCGTTCTCACTGACTTCATGCTGCTTATAATCAAGTCCCTAGTGAGGAACATGGCTGGCAGGGATAAGAGTCTCACAGCCAGGCTTCCCCAGCCCAGCTGTGACTTGCAATAAAACATTTCCAGCATTGTGTGACTGACAAATGCCGTTGCCCTGATTGATATCCCTGCTAAGGTCCTTATCACATGGGCATGCAGAGCTCCGAACCCCACGGTTAGACCCCAGCTGACCAGCATGGGACGCAGGCCCTTGGATCAAAGACAAACACAATGGCTGAGAGCTCCCAAGAAGTGTTTATCACGTCTCACCAGGTACTGAGCTCTCTGCATACGCGGTGAGGGCCATATTCTTCAGGCTCCGGCTGGTTTTACCCCAGTGTAATTCCACCAGCTTTGGGACTGGTAGTGGCTGCTACACAGCACTGACAAGCCAACTATTTACTGCATTATGTCACTCAATATAGGCTCCCACATTTGCATCTGCTGGCTTTTATTGCTGGATTCCAAGCAAGGATGGGAAGCATAAGCCACGTAGAACCCATTCAAAGTGTAGTGCCAAAAGGGACTTGTGATTTTAAATGCCTGGCTTGAGAGACCTCCAGGGGAGCTGTTTTTTTCAGAGGGCAGGATCAGGACATCATGCCAGAGGCGCTTTTAAAGCACCTCAAAGCCCACACCCAAACAAGGAGCATCTAAAGTGACAAGAAGACATACAAAAAACTGGGACTCTTGGTTCCAAAAGTGACAAGACACTTTGGAAACAGCTGGCTCAGGGCTACCAGTGTAACAGGGTGATTCTAGGTCTGTTTGGTTTGTTCAATTTTAGAATTATGGCTGCTGCATTTTATCTGTTTTGTCCCTGAAAACTCTGTGCGGGACCTCATTCCAAGAAAACCTCTTTGGACTTCATGTAGCTTTGGTTACACTGAGTTAGAGAAATGTGGCATTTTAAAATTAGCCCCTCTCCCCTTGGAAGGAAGCAGAACAAAATCATGGTTTCAATTAAGGGTGGGAGGGAAAATAGATCACAGGACTCCAACAGGGTAGTGAAACCCATGCGGTTAAAAAATGCTTGAGGCCAAATGAAAGCCCATATGCCACCTGATCCTCAGATCTTTGGGCTGGAGGGAAACGGTCGTGGTTGAAAAGCTAGAACGTGGCCAAGGCTGTGGTGTTTTCTATCACAGCAGCATACATAAGGGTGACAGGAGATCAAACACACACACACACACACACACACACACACACACTCTCACTTCCTGCTCCCCCCTTTGCTGCTCTACATCCAGTGCTGTTCTTATGTGCAGGAAGCAGAGCACATTTTACGAGACTCTTGCCCTCTGAAGTGCCTGTAAATGTCATTTTAACTGCCTGCATATACCATAAAAACAAAGCTGGCAGATATACGCATGAGGGTTTGCAGCCCATGAGAGACATGTGCCAAGTACTTCAGACAAACTGTGAGCCCTCCCAGGGAGCATAGTTAGCATCAATTATTTCCCTTCCAAGTCAAATATCTCAGCAGAGGAAGCAAGGACTGACTGGGTCAGGGGTAAGGTAAGGGCTGAGGCACGTAGGCTACAAAGCTCCTACAATGGGCTGGGCCTGTTATGAGGACGGTACCTTTTGTCATCACTGACATCCCCTTTAGAGACTGCATATGGGTCTCCATTAATTAGTTTGACCAATTCTGGTGAATATGTTTTTAAAAAGCAGGGCACAGGAAGGGCCATTCTGACACAGATCCACGATCGAGTCAGAAGATCATCCTGCCTCTGATCACAGCCAAAGAAAGGTGTGCAAGGCCCTGTCCACCTGGCCACAGCCTGCTAGGTGTGTCGCTGCCCGTACTGGTTCTGAAGAGCGCGGTTTGTGTCTGCCGTCACAACCGTGTTTCCACATCTCTACCAAGCTGTGTTTGTACAAGTACATGCTGGGAAAATCCAGGCAGGCCTGTTATAGTGCCTTAGCAGCAGGGAGTGAATCAAAGGGGCATGACACAGAGCAGCACCACAGCAGTGCATCTTGGGGACTCCTACCACACTGAAAACCAAGGTAAGGAAGGTCAGTCTAATTGGTGATGCAGGTGCGAATGCAGGGAACCCACCTTCCCTGCGCAGCCCCCACCCCAGGCTGAGCCCCTCAAGCCAGACTAGGGCTCCAGCAGTAGCTAAACACTGTCAGGCACCAGGTTACCTACCAACCGATAGCTGATGGTCTGTAAAGACACCCAGGTCAGAGCCAACCCTGCCCTAGCAGCTTGGGGATGTAGCTCAAAGGAGCTGAGCGGGTGGCAGGGGTTGTAAATAATAACAGCTCCATAATGCCGCCCCTGCTGTCCTGTGCCCTCCCCAGCAGACAGCCTGGGCAAAAACAGGCCTCAGCACTAAAGCAGTCTGGAGCATGTTCTTAGCATGACATTAGTAACTCGCATCCAGACCCTGGGTTTTGGGAGGTGGCTGGACAGGCTGCCCCAGTAGGGATGGAGGCTGCTTCTTTGTGGGCAATGGAATTAGCACCTTCTTTTCTCAGTTAGTCTGACGATTTCTTGACATCAGCTGAGATACCCCCAAGCCCATGTGTATCCCTGCCTGTGGCTGCCCTATCCTGTCCCTGCTGGTACAACCACACGCTGTCCCTTTCTTCACCTGCCAGCTGATGCAAGCACCTCCTCCAAAGAGCAAAGCATGGTCCATGCTGCATCAGCCTCTTTTAGCTGCATCTCCTCAGCCAACACAGGACCCGCCTGGGGATCCCATCCTGTTTCCATTGCAGTGGCACACAGCCCAGCTGTGACACAGACTGGCCGCCATAAATAAAGGATCCTTCACAACGTGGTCGTTCCATCCCCCTGTGCCTGGGCAGGTTTAATCTAGTCCCAGGAGATGCAGGCTTCAGACCAGTGACAGCGCCCAGGCTGGATGGTGACAAGGAGGTGACATGCTTCTTCTCCTACCCTGGTCCCCAGCCCCACAATCACTCACCTCTGTCAAGCTTTTCACATTGAGGACGTGGACTTCCCGGTCTTTCCCCACAGTGCTGCTGCTCACGCATCCTCTGATAGTCTTGCTTGTTGTGTAAGACACTTGGACATCCGGATTTAGGCCGATTGGCCGTAGGGTGCAGGCACCAGTTCTCACTGGATCTAGAGAGGAAGCAGCTCAAAGTCAGGCGCCTTGCTACCATCCTGAAGGAGAATGGTGATAAGGGAAGCCCCAGGGGGCAGGGAGTGCAGGGAGGAAGGGAAGGCTGTGGGTACCAGCCAAGGGGCAGAAGAACCAAGGGGCTTGACAAGGGAATGGTCTCTGAGGCACAGAGGTGAGAGAACTGCAGATCATGAGAGATTCTTGGGCGACTATCTACTCAGTGCAGGGAGAAGGTGCTCAAAGGAGAGGGATGCAGGAAGGAGGTGGAGTAGCAGCTAGCAAGGTGCCTGAGCCCAGAAAGTGAGAAGCAGCCAAGGAAAGACATCTGCCTTGCACTGGAGGCTGCAGGGAGGAGTGGGGGCAGCTGGTGTTCTAAGGGGGAAGCCCCGACTTCTAGCACCAGTTGGCTCTGACAGAAACCGCAGCCCTGACGTGCTTGTTCAAGACACTGTGAGTACAGGAAGGAAGGAAGCCAGGAAGGACAGATGGATCGGGCACAAGCATGGCCCTGGAATAGGTTTCCTTAACAGAGTGCAGCAGCAACCAAGCCCATGGCCAGTGCTTCTGCCCAACTCCACCCTCTCTCTGTGGCTCTATGGTGCCTTTGCAGTCAGGGGTGCTCCATCGGGGAAGTGTTTCATCGCTAGACCTGATCGCTAGCACGTGGTGGCAGATCGCTTTCTACCCCTGGTGCAGCTCCACTGATTATCGCTGGGCTCTGGCCAGCCTATCCCAGAGCCCAGTTCCAGGGAAGAGCAACAGCAAAATTGTTCAGATGCCAGCTCTGCATCCGAAGTCCGGAAATTCCAAGTACAGGCTGATCTCTGCGTTGCACCTGGGCTGCTGTAATGTTCCAGTCATTGGTCACCCCTGGGAACTGAGCCATGGTTTCCTCAGGCCAGATGCAGGGATTGTCACTTCTGGGCTGAAAGAGTAGCTCCTTGACTGGGCAGCTACCTGTAGGGCAGCCTTACTCCTTGCAAGTCAGCTTTTGGAGGAAGGGATGCAGCTTGCAGAACCATGGGTCCCTGCAGGGTAAACAGGACGCTCCAAAGACCTGATGGGCCACACGTGTCACCAAACCTGTTCCTGCATGTTATATTCTAGTGCCTAGAGGCCATGGTCAAATGTGGGGCCTACTCTGCAAAGCCTTGAGCACACACAAAGGGAGAGCCTTCCTGCCCCCAAAGACTCCCTGCTCTCAGCAGACCAGGAGGGAGGGGAAGTGACTGCACCAAGGTCTCAGAGCAAAGCTAGGACTGGAGCACGGCTGTCTGAGGCCACGCTGCCTTCCTAGTCACAGCCCATCCGGCACTTCACAAGGTGAAACACTGACTC